TTTGCCATCATTGACTGATCTAGGAACTGGGATTACAGTGGCAGTTAAGAAAAAGTCCTTGTTTCCAGGGTCCAGAGTTACAGAATGAACAATTAAGAAATAATGATAAAGGGACCACAAGACAATAGAGCGATGTGTACACAAGAAAAAGGCTGATGTGAAAAGAACGATGCGGAGAACTAGTTTAGATAACCTTCTCTCAGGCCTCTATAAGGAGGTGACATTTGTGTTGAGATTTGAGCATTAAGAATGAGCCAGGTTAAGGGCATTTCAGCAATTTGTCTCCAACATAGGAATAAGATAAAGCATCTAGTTTGTGCCTCAGAAATAGAAATAGGAGAATGCTTTCAATAAAGCAGTGCTTTTGAGATATCTACTAACTGAATTCATTTGCAAATGCAGGATACAAGACTTTTGCAAGGCTTTCTAAGGTCACACACATTCATAATTATGCCATTTTCTACACTAAAATTTTTTCATACTTAAAAGTCTTCAAACACATTGAAAAGAAAGGCTTGGGAATAAAGTGGATAAAACATAATGTGAACTTAATTGGTTATAAATATATAATGACATTCATATTCCTAAACATTGCATTTTAGCTTCTCTATTTTCAAGCAATAGGCTTTTTTTGTGTAAGTTTTGGAGAGTCTGAAGGTATGACTTACCTTCACTTTTATACATTTCTGAGTATCCAGGCTGTATTAGCAAAACTCACTGCTCTTAAGTATACATTAGAATCTGAAATTATGTGAAATACTTTCATAAAAATGAGCCTTCCAGATAATAAAGCATTTTAAGTTAAAAGTCTTATTACAAATATGATGGTTGTTGACTCAAAATTGTACAGACACGATCAGCAATTGTACGTGGTGTGTGTATATGTATACCAAACACATCATATATTTTTACCTTCTGTCACAGGATATATATATCAAAGAATCCAACTCTCCCTTTCTGAGTGTCCTAGTTTCACTGATCTGACATTTGATGTATCAATCATTCAGTGTCTTCTATGTGCCAGGTACCTTCTGACACTAGAGGCACAACAGTGACCAAGATACACCTTTGCATAAGTTTGTGCCTCATCTTCCAATTGGAATGCAGCTTTTGGAAGGTGGAATAATGTATTTCACTATTTTCCAAATATGTCTCATGATCTGTCACTATGAGTTGAAGATAGCCAGTACAAATTACTCCAATGTAATAGGGAGCGAGATATATTCCCCATTGTTCTTATTGAACTTTTCTTCAGAAAACATGTCTGCCTTGTTTAGATTCAAGGTGTATTTGAACAATGACTTCTATGTCTCTGCAGATGCCTTTCCCTACTTTCCTATCTTGCTCATCCTGCTTCCTTGCTAATGAATTCTTAATTCAGTATAACATCAAATTTAGGCTTTTGTGTGAGTCCAATGCCAGAAAAGCAAAGGCTGAAGAGCAAATAAACAATTGGAGAACATTGTTTTCACCTTTTTAAGGTGTTAAGTGTGTGAGCATTTCATGCTTCCACTTCTAGGATCTCTATTTTTATTAAGTAGCCTTGATTCTCACCCTGTTTTTCATTCTTAATTCTATTAAAGATCATTCACTCAGTACACATTTAATGAGTTCCTAGCATATACTGGTCACTAGAGAGACAAAGATATTAAGACACAGTCTCTGCACTCAAGAAGCTCATAGTTTTGTCCTCACCAGTGTGGCTCAGTATGGTCATCGCATGCACCAAAGGTCATAGGTTTGATTCCTGGTGAGGGCACACAACCAGGTTGCAGGTTTGATCCCAGCTTGAGGTGCATGGGGGAGGCAACCAATCAATGTTTCTCTCTCACATTGATGTTCCTCTTTCTCACTCTCTCTCTCCTTCTCCTCCCTTCCTCTCTCTCCCTAAAATCAAGGAAAACATGTCTTTGGGTGAGGCTTAAAAAAAATAAATAAAAAGTAAAAGTGTAGTGACAGAGAAGGAGTGGTCAGGGAGAAATTAGGAAGAATGCTGTGCCCTGTAAGAGTGTTTAATGAAAAGAAGAAGGTAAGCTCAGCAGAAGGGGTTGAAGATAGACAGGGTAGCATGAGGCAAGGCAAAGGGGCAATCAATAGCATTCCCCCCAAATTATCAACAATTCTCAGCTGATGAAGCAAGAATGTAAAGAAATGAAGATGGAGTCAGGCCATGGAGCACCTTATGTGGCCTGTCAAGAAGTTGGACTTTTTCTTACAGGGGATAGAAGGTCATGATCAGGTTCTAAGAACAGAGTAACACCGTTAAACTTGTGTTTTATATCCGTCTAGAGTAGCCTTACTTTTTTCCGCTGAGATGAAAGGCAGGGAGAAAAGTTGAGAGTGCACTTCAGCAGTTGAAGTAAAGGATGCTGAGACCCTGAACTATGACATTTGAAAATTCAAGGAAACAATTCATCATCACTTAATGATGGAACAGTTGCAGGAAATGAGGAAATGGGAGTTATGCCCGTGGATGGCATTAGGAGGGAAAATGAGAGTGGAATATTTTCTACTGATGATCAGAGTACATGAAAGCATGGCAAGAGCAGGTAGGTAGCAAAACACACGATTAGGAACATTTTCTTGTTATCCTGATTTTACATTATGTTGAGAATTTGTAGTACAGAGGAATGCTTTGCATTTAAGCATTCGAGTTCCTAGGGTCCATTTTTATGATCACTTTTTCTATTGTCTTTCTGTATTCCTTCCATAACATTTAATTCTGGAATCCTTACCTGTCCCTGCTCATTTAAAATAAATTTGTAGTTTTATTGTAGCCTCCTGTGTTTTGATCTATCTTCATCCCTGACACTATCTCTGGGATTACCTATGTCTCCCTGCTATGGCCTGACCCACCCTCCTTGGAATCTCTCCAGGCCTCAGGGAACCCAACCTGCTTCCGATGTCCTAAGATTCTGCTCCTCAGTGAAGGGGATTTGGATTTAATACAGATTCTGAAGTCCAACCAAGAGAAAAAGCTAAGCATATAGAGATTTAAAAACAAACAAACAAAATCTTACCTTTTTTAAATATAAAGATAATTGAATTTTGTTTCCCAATGCAAAAAGATATACTTATTCCTATTTGATTGAGGACTTTATTGAGAATACAAGCTAATCATTAGCATAGAAGATATCCTGCACAGAAGGGCTCGGATGGGAGCTTAAGGGGCTTTATGTGATTTGATTTGAAATGGAAAGACAAAGTTTCAGAGCAGAGAAATGAGCAGCTTGTAACCATAAAGGAAGATTAATCTGACATTGGTGAAATTTTCAGTGGCAGAGAAACAAACGAAAGGATGGAAGGCAACTAGTTATGGTGCAGCTACTCCCTGTGAGAAGAACACAGTTCGGGTGATGGTATTAGGAAAGAAGACAAGGGTCTGGGCATAAGATGTCTTACCACAGTTAATTGATTAGCATTTGGTGATTGACTGAATGTGAAGAGCGGGGAAAAAATTCAAAAAAAGGAACAATGTTTTCTATTTCACATGAATGTAAGAAAATGACTGAAATATTTATGGAGATTTCAAAAGATAAATATTTCAGCATTGAATGATTACATTACTTTATGAAATAGCTTATCATACGTATGAGGCTGGGTGGTATCATGTAACTTTTGAGAAACTGGAGTTTATGGCAAGAACTTGGAGCTCAAATTTACAGAATGGAAGTGTGAGGTCAAATAAATAGAAGAGAGCAAATTCAGAAAGGCAGAATGTCAAGTCAATGGCTCAGTAATGGTTCAGTGCTGAAGTTGCCCCTCCTCCCCAAACAAAACAAAACAAAACAAAACAAAACCTCAGATGTGTATTTTATTAACAGTTTAAATGTTCCCAACAAGGGCTCAAAAGCAAAGGCCTTGATCATTAACAGGTCATTGATAACTTTCAAGGGAACAGTTTTGGTAAAGATGTGATCAAATCACAATGCAAGGATTATATTGGGAATCTTTTGACAAGGTTGGTAGTAAAAGAAAGAAAAAAGAGCAAAGCATTGTTAAGAAATACGAACAAGAAAGAGAATGTTCTTTCGGTACAGGGGTGACCTGAACATTCTAGTAGGCAGAGGGGGGATTTCTGGGGAAGGATGGAAAGAAGACCCAAAGCAAAGTATTGTAATGAAGTTATAAGAAATTACTTGCAACAGGTGAGGTGAGTCTGTGAGTGAATCTAGGGGATGAACAGGGAAAATAAACATGGAAAAATAGTGGAAATCAGAAAAATAAAGAAACAATATGTAATAATGATAAGAGGGTGGAAGATTGGGAAGATATGGACAATCAGGACACATGAAGGAACTTTCATAACTGGGGCTACAGAAATAAACAGTTCTGAGAATCATAATTAAAACAATTTCCAGTATTTATTTTAAATATATTTTTATTGATTTCAGAGAAGAAGGAGAGGAAGAGAGAGATAGAAACTTCAATGAAGAGAATCATTAATCGGCTGCCTTCTACATGCCCCACAGTGGGGATTGAGTCTGAAACCTGGGCATGTGCCCTGACCAGGAATCGAACCATGACTTCCTGGTTCATAGGTTGACATTCAACCTCTAGGCCACACCACTTGGGCAATTTCCAGTATTTTTTTTTTAACAATGAAAAACATGTGTATGGAAAAACATAATAAAGAATAAGGGCATGCCGAAACCGGTTTGGCTCAGTGGATAGAGCGTCGGCCTGCGGACTGAAGGGTCCCGGATTCGATTCCGGTCAAGGGCATGTACCTGGGTTGCGGGCACATCTCCAGTAGGAGATGTGCAGGAGGCAGCTGGTCGATGTTTCTCTCTCATCGATGTTTCTGACTCTCTATCTCTCTCCCTTCCTCTCTGTAAAAAATCAATAAAATATATTAAAAAAAAAAGAATAAGGGCAAAAAAAGATGTCTTATCATTTAATTCCAATATTTCTTTTGATCAATGTGATAGCATGGACCTCAGGATTTCCCGTAAACAGAGAAAGCAATGACCAAGGAGGCCCAGGACTAGAAACCTTACCTCTCTCAGAGGATCGTTCAGTTCATTGAGAATATTTTCCTCATCAAAGATCTTCCCTTGGTATCTGTGCTCATAGTAATCATGAATCTTCTGACGCATATCAGCTGGCAACTTATGGAATGACATGTATTGTTCCACTTGCTTATACTGTAAGGAAAGGAAAAAAGAAAATGAAAAACCATTGTTAGGCTGAATGAGAAATTGTCATGTTACTTTGCTATATTCAATAACACCTGGATAGCAATAACAAAAGAAGTAATTCTTTAAAGGGAAGAAACTTATGCACTAGGTTTTAATGTCACTATTCTGTGTCGCATATTGTAGAAGGTATTTATTTAGGTAAATCTTTCCTGTAATAACCTGAGATGTTATGGAGAGAAGGCACAAAAGGATTTCAGAGTGAGTTTAAGGTTGTAGTCCCAGAAAAACCAATAATGGGGTAAAAATAAAATTTTTACATACACGCACACGCACACACATATTCTTTTTTAAAATTTCATTTTTAGCTGAGTTCCAAAAGAAGTATGAAGCTGCTCTTTGGGTCTTAACTTGGAGAACGAATCTGGTAACTTTGGACAATACAAAAAGTTTTATCTTAGCTCTTACAGGGAAAGAGCAGACCTAATTCAGTTTTGAACATCTAGGCAGGGAACTTGGCAGCTGTTTGCAAGTCAAGAAACAGATGCCTTGCAAAGTAAGAGAATGTGTCCCGCTTCAATTTAGGACCCAGGAGAACATGAGGGTGAGACTAGATCCACCTAATTTCATAGCAGGAAGTTAACTCAGACAGTTAAGTTCATTTAACCAAGAAGTTCTTAAACTTGGGTATTTATAAACTTAGGTGGGGTTGTTGTTCTTTGGGAATGCAGATTTTCAGGCTTAACTCTGAGATGATTCCCTTGATGTACAGGTCCCTGTGAATTTACGCACATGCTCACATACACACAGAGAGTCACTTAAAAAAAAAAAGCATCCCTGCTAGTTGACAGGACATGGTAGCACCAATGTTGCGTGGGAGCTTATTAGAAGGGAATTTCAGGCTTCACCCCAGATCTATGAAATCAGCATCTACATCTTAAAAGGACCCCAGATGACTCATCATTTTTACATTTGAAACATGCTTTTAATGTTTTAAAAACAGGTAGTTATGATGCCATACTTTGAAAAAGTGAGTTAAAACTCTCAAAATTAGTTTCATTGAACAGAAATAAAGTTGATAATAAAAATAAAATAGTAAGTAATAAAACCAGATAAAAATACTGGAATCTGATTCTTCTTTTAAACAAAACACATTTGATGCATTACCATGGGAAGCTTTTTCTCAGATCTTTCAGATAGCAAAGTTCTCTCTAGAAAATCTAGGTCTTCTGCTTCCTTGTCTGCACTTCTTGTGATTATAATTGTAATTGATAACAGACACAGCTAATGAATAACAGCAATTGAATTTCTTCAATTTCCCCACATACTTTCCTTACCTATAAAGCTCATATTGTTTGGATGTTCCCTTTGAGAGCTTAGTATCCTCTATTGAAATACAATTTTGTCATGAGAATTCCTTTATTTGGTCACCAGATTATCCCCTTGAAGTATTAAAGCCCCCAAATGAATATATATGAAGCAACCAGATTATGATGCAAGCATTTTGAATTTTAGGCACCGATGCTGTCACAGCCATTGTGTGTAAATGGCTTCTAGTATGTACTTGAGAAGTACAGGGTTAATATTTCCCGAAGAGCTCAGAATCCATATGCCTGCCTAACCTCAGATGCTTGCTAGTTCATTTCTGGAAACCTGGATTCAGTCTGCTGGGCCCTCACCAGCTGGTCCATAGGAAAGCAACTTCCATGGCCTTCTCTACCGACCGCTCTGGAGGGTGAAGCTGATTTGCAGCTGGTCTGGAAACGCTCTATCTTTATTTCTGGAGACATTTCTGTGCCTACTTTTTACTCTTAGACAAAAAGGGGGCAGTGGAATATGTGATGGACTTTTCAGGGTCTAAAATGCCACTGGAGACCCCCACGGTTAACTTCTGCACTAATGACTTACAACTAACCTACTTGATTTTGATACCATTGTCATTAACCTAGTTATTAATAACAGGAAAGGAGCAAAGGGAAGGCCAAATATTATAGACATATCATTTGGGCAGTTTCACCAGGAAGCTAAAGCTTTACTTTCCCCAGGGAGCCACCGTTCTATTCCCTGCAGATCTCTGGGGGAAGGGACTGCAGAGGGAGAACAGACACATGCCCAGTGGAGTTGGGGTGGCATTGGGAAGGTATTTGCTTGTCAGTCACACCTGGGAACAGGTCATTGGCCAGAATGGGCATGGCCATGGCAGGGCATGAAATTTGAGACATTTAATCCCTCACACATTGGAATTCGTGAACTTGGAGTGTAACACTTGACGCCTGCCTTTGTGGGGCTCTATTGCTCCTCTTCCTGACACTGGCCTACATGACCCATGATGCTGAACTGGACCCGGATGCAACATGGAATGGAAACTCTGGACACTGGCTTTGCTTTTAGCTCTACTGAACCCTCAGCTATACTTCTATAACTGGAATGGCACTTTGGAAACCCAGGGTTGTAATTCCACAAATAAAAACCACTCATCCTCCCATGCAAGTCTCAGAAAATTCTTTTCCTCACAATATCATAAGGACCCCACACTCAGCACCCAGTGGGGAAAAGGACACCCAATTTCCCTGATATTGGTTTAACTAGCCTGGCTCAACTAGATCAAACTCTATGGGGAGCTTTGTGGGTGAGCTCTCCCCACACCAAGGCTCCCCGCACAGATCCTGATGGAAGAAACCAGAGACAGCTCACCCCAGGTGCTCCCCATGGGGAGCTCACTCTGGGAAAGGCGCTAGCTTCTGATGCTTATTTGTGTCTCTTCCTCTGCGGTGTGGTCCCTTTGCCTTTAAACAAAAGCCTCCTATGAGCAAGTCTGGCATCTGATGCGTCCTGTCAAACACCCGGACTTGGGAAAATAGAACAGCTTCAGACAATAGGACGACTACAGCTTGGACACTGACTACAGTGATGAAAGTCCTTTCCGTTCTGGCCAAATAAAGATTCGCTACCAGCTGGTGTCCAGCAGTCTCTGCTTACCCTTCTCAACAAGCTTCCTGCCCAAACACTGCTTGGAGTGGTGAGAATGTTCAACCTTAGAACATTGAGCTCTAGATTTCTTAATTCTTTGTAAGCATCTTAGGGGTATAAGACGCAGTGTTAACAGTGTGGTATTCATTTGGAGGAAATCTGCGTCTATGTGCAAAGGCCTCGTCCTCTAGAGGAAAAATTAGCTGCTCCATGTCTGTCTCTGGAATTGGAAAACGAATCCTTGATTAGCTGCATACAAATACCACATGTGAAACTATTTTATTTTTAAGGCAAGTCAGTGTTGGTTGAAATCCAGTTCTTTTTTCTTACAAAATTCATTTCATCCCTTTAGGCTTCAGTGTCCTAATCTGCAGCAAAAGGGTGTTAGGCCAAATGATGTACCTTGTTCCTTCAGAACAAAATTTCTATAGGTATTTCTTGTCATTTATTCATACTGAGCCAAGTTTGATTTTTGAGCCTATACGATCCATTTTAACCATTCACTGACATGGGAATTATTGATCTAACAAATGTTAATTGATTGCTGTGTGCTAATGGTTCTCAAGGGGCAGTTGTCAAACACCGGTACCACTTGGGATGTTAGAAAGGCACATTTGTATTCTCCACCCGAACCTACTGAATTAGAATTGCAAACTCTAAGCTGTGTGTGTTTTAACAGACTCTCAATTCACTAAAATATCAGAACCACTTTGATATGCCAAGTACTGTGATAACTTAGGACATAAGGAAGCGCAGTGAGTGAGAGTCAGGAAAGAAAAGAAATTCAGTTTTGACAAGTTAAGATTAAGATGCCCACGGCTCATCCTAATGCATATCTATAGGTCAGGTACTCAGGAAAGAAAATACACATAGTTGATGACTCAGGGGTCACTAAGGAAGGAGGGGTCAAACAAGGAGAGAAAAGACAAAAAGTAGAACCTACATTTTAAAAGCAGTGGAGTCATGGAGATTGATCAAGGTAAGGGAACTAACATTTGCCAGCAAGATGTGTGAGCAGAACCCAATAAAAATGATTAGCAGAACCCAAAGAAGGACAAAGTATTGAGAGGCGTGCTCAAAGGAATATTCTCTAAGAAAAGGGGTATTGGATATTGTCCAGTAAATTTGGAAATGAGGTAGTAATCCTCCTTAGAACTAACAGGATAGCCCTAGCCAGTTTGGCTCAGTGGATAGAGTGTCAGCCTGAGGACTGAAGGTTCCAGTTCAATTCTAGCCAAGAGCACGTGCCTGGGTTGCAGGCTTGATCCCCGGTAGGGGGCGTGCAGGAGGCAGCCAATCAATGATTCTCTCTCATCATTGATGTTTCTATCTTTCTCTCCCTCTCCCTTCCTCTCTAAAATCAATAAAATATATTTTTTAAAAAAGAACTAACAGGATAGTCTTTTGATACCCAAATATCATTGTATACACTGAAGATGACTGGAAGATAAGAATCACAAGTTATACTTTTCATTTTATTATAAGAACAAATGACATAATATTAAAAAATTAGTAAGTTAAGTCAAATGGAGCTCTTAGTTTATGATTCTAACTCTAGCCTTCAAATCTATATAACACTGCATAGAAGTAGTTAACTTTTTACTGAAGTCTGTCTCTCAGAATGCATGGAATTACTGTACAACAATGTGTTTTCTGTAATCTCAGGAGGTTTTTTACAATGTAGCCCATGCTGACAGCAAACACTTAACCTGTGAGATGTCTCTGTGTAACTTGAGATGGCAACAATAACTGTCATTGCATCACTTTTTAAAGTTTTTATATAGGGAGATTCCAAATGATTCCAGGAACAATGATTACAGGTCATTGCCACCAATAAGCCTCCTTGGTAGAGTGCAGCCAAGATTTTGGAGATGACAGTGAATGCTCCCAGGTAACCCAAGACTGAGTTACTTCCTTCTTTTTATTATTTGGCTTGCCTTGAAAATGAGCAGATTCCAAAACGTTTTTCAAAAGTCAGGGTAGCTCTGTTTAAGGCTTAACCAAGCAAGTAATTGAAAAAACAAAAATAATGACAAGTC